CAAATGACTCTTATCAAACCAAAAATGTCCGCGTGCATTCGTGGTAATGTCAATTCTCGCCTTTGTGAGTTTTGCGTTTAAATGTAAAAACCCTAATTTTCTTGTAAAACAGACTTACCCTAATGACAGTACGACAGCTTCTTTCATTCAAAAGTAAAAAAGACTAGTTGACTCTTTCCAATAAAAATTTAAGCTATCTCACCTCTACTTAAATAATAAGGCCAATCAAGATTGAGCTTTGCATTATGCCTATGTTTGATACTGAGTTTTCAAGAAATAACGAGTGGGTTGTCCACATTACTTTTAGTGAGAATGGGTGCCATAAGTATCTCCATGAGTGCAGGATAGATATGAAATGTATTGAAAACAACGTTACAGGGTGCATCTGCTTCCAACTTCGCATATGAATAGCCATTTCAAAAGTACACTCCCTTGTCAGCATAGTAACATACCGATCAGAAACTCTCCAGGATGAATTAATAATTGGATTTATTTACTTACTTAGATGGCCTGTCTTCACTCGCCGGGCAGGCCACAGCACTGTTTTTACCCGCTTCTGCCTCTCGCTAGCGTCATTCACGACGTTGGTATTAAACTTCGGCGGCGACGTTTGCGAGGTCCAGCCATTACTCATAACCAGCTGAGAATTCAGCTGGTCCATCCATGCAACGAACACTTTAACTCATCTGGGGCGGAATGTATTAACATCACATCAAAACTGGCTCTCCTGGTCGGGGAGTTACCTGATCAGGAGCCACTTCTTGTACCCGCGATGCGTGAGGCTGCAGCATTCACTGGGTAACTGCCCGAACAGGAACATAGGGTGCGCTAGCAATGCGCACCGCATGCCGAAAACGCTCACTGACTTATTTGTAGTGCTCCACGCTGCATCAAGTGCCACTTCTTTTCCAATTTTTACATGTCTCATGCTTTTTAATGAACATACTTGCATCATGTAGTTAGTTTTCTAGTGCGTGGAACGGTCTGTGGATCGGAGGTTTCTGTATAAAGGTCCTTAATTTCTAAGTTAATTTTTGAAATTCCTAGTTGTTTTTTTCAACTTCAAAAGTGTTCTGGGTTGTTATTCTTGTAACTGTACA